GGTTTAGGGTCTCCTTTTTTTTTTTTTTTTTTTTCTTTTTTTTTTTTTTGAAAGGCTAATTCTTGTAAGCCCAACCAATTCAATTACCTGTCAAATCTGGACAGGAGGGCCTTTCAGGCCTTTTTAAACCACCAGTACTTGGGCGACGCCTTAGCGTTAACGCTACGCGATTTCCGCGGCCGGCGGGCCGTCAATAAATCGAATCGACCGCGCTGCTTCGAGATTTGGGCGGCCAGCGCGGCGCGCAGTGCCCAAGTACTGGTGGTTTAATTGTCATTATAGTATTATGGGCAACCCCATAGCAGCCACATCGGTGCTCAAGCCTCCAACAAGGTAACATGCGGGTGGTCTCCTTGGACACATCTAGAAAAGTCTAGAAAAAGCGTTTTTTTTTGGTTTGTTTTTTAAGCAGAAAGCCAGCTGGGCCTATATGAGGAGTGATATGAGTAGTCCTTTAGCTGGCTGCCCTAGTCTATTGGTGGGGGTACTCACCTGCTGGAAACTGGGTCCGGCGCCCTTGACAAATATCCTGCCTCCTATTGTGTTGCAGAACGTCTTGTGGATATGTCCTTCGCCCCCCCTCATTCTACTCTGCATCATTTCTCAGATCAGCAATATTTCTGCTGGGTCCCATGGAACAGCTACCACTCTTTTTTTTTTATGTGGCCCAATGGACCACAGATCAGATATTGAACTGATCAGAACAGATACTACACTTGATCTATTTTTAGCCAAAAGGCCGAGAAAGGTATAAGACAGCTACCACTCTTCTTTTCTCTGATCAGCAAAATGGGTTGTTCCGCAGCAGTTGAACAAAAATCTCTGTTTCTACTAGGTCTTGTGAGACAGCCTCTTCAGCCCATCTGCAGGCCCCCATGCAGGCAGAAAATTATCCCTAGCTGTGCCTTTCACGGCCATCTGAGAGCTCTCTAGGGTGTCCCTGGAATGTCTCTGGCTGCTCTCTGGCTGCACTCTAGATGCGCTGGCCGAAGTTCCGTGCACCTCCATTATTCTCCTCCGGACCATTGAGGTCTTACCAATGCCAGATGATGTGGTGAGAACAGGTAGGGAAAGTCTGAGGGCGGGTACAATGGTGTTGATGCGTCCATCCTTGTCCAATCCTGGAATGTGAGCTGGTAGTCCGTCAATCTTGATCGTGTCTTGCTCCCTTCCTTGGCAGCCTTCCCATCTGATTGCTGTTATCCATCCTCCTTAGTCCCCTCCCAGCTATTCTTCGGAGAAGACTTCGATTTCTTGTTGGATATCATTGATCTTGTTGTACAGGTCTAGTTTAGCTTTGAGTTGTGTCCATGTGTTAGCTACTCGATCTATCTCAATTTGTTGTTGATAGTTTCCGTGCATTCCTCTCCCGCGAGGCGTACCCCTTCCCTTTCAAATGTGCATCTTTTCCGCTAGAGAGCCCAGAGGACTCAGAGGACTACTCCGCGTCCCAATGGGAATGTGTTAGCACAGCCATCTCCTTGCAGTGCTTGTCATGCGCCATACAATGGAGCCTGCCATTCCTTCCTAAGTTGGCACCAGATTCTGTCCCACCGGCGCCACATGAGGACTGCTCCGGGGCATGTGATACGAACCCACACGGCCTGTGCACAGTTCCGTGCCCGCAGGAGGAAAGTCGATCAGAGTACGGGGTGTGGCCGAGGATTTTGGGCAAGGGGGTGAAATCCCAGGGCAAAAACAGAATTTCCCGTTGTCGCACTTTTTTCTAGTCGTCCACTTCGGGCGACCGGAAAGCCAACAGGCTGTCACGCGGGATTTTGAGGATGATTGCAATAAATAAATAAATTAAATACAGCAGATCCTTTCCTGTTGTGTGCGTCCGGCTTCGAGCGAGACCCTTTAATTGCGTTTTTTGTCGGTCCCCGGTCTTATGAATTTTTTATTTTGATTCGGAACAGCAAAGATTATGCAATTGTTAATCATAAATTCTAGTGTGTCATGCATGTATCGATTTTGCGAATTTGCTAGCTTTGAGAACGTTGACAGAATCATAAGAGAATACAATCATCAAGCAAAGTCAATACAAATAAGAAAGACCAATGACTCAAGTCAAAGTCAAGAATAAATGAGGGAAAAATAAGAGCTCATAATAATTTAGGAAAACACAGTTGGAAGGGCTAGGCTGACACTTGTCATGAGTCCTCACTCATCCCTCTAGCCAACACGCGCCATCTCTCATTTGGTTGTGCGTTTCCTGTGCCTTGATCCACGTCCCTGTACTCGCTGAGGTTGTGACATCTGAATATAGAACCACCTAAAACCTGCAAGCTCTGAACACTTTCATCCAAGTCCCATGATACGGAAATCAACCATAACACAAAACTCCTCCCACAATGTAGGGAGATATGGCTGAGAGAAAACCCCGCGCCTGAGATGCTCAAACTCAGATGACTCGGTCACTGCCTCTAATCAATCTCTGCAGGCGAGATATACCTCTTGGCTAGGTCAACCAGATCACCCCAACAAGAGTCATCTATGAGAATGAAAGGAACCAGAGACTTGGGGTAGTCAGTATAGAGCTTTGGTCTGAAGTTGTGAATCAGTTTGACACCACTCTCGTCAAGCTCCCTCTCTTTCTCTTCAAGGTACTTTACTGCTGAGATCCAAACTGTGCCAAAAAGATCATGAGTTTCATTGCCTTTCTTCACATACGGTCTCCGATCGTGGACAGTGCCGTCCGCGACTCGAGTGAGGACAACAAAGACTGACAGGTTCCCTTGCCTAAAGCCAACAACAGTGACATATTGGTATCAAAAGGCGTCATTGAGGGCAATCCTGTTAAGCTTGGTCAAAACTGACCCCTGGATGAGAAACAATTGAACTGTACTCATGTGTCGAAGTGGATGTTAACACCGGTCTCAACGTGTTTTGACGAGAGCAAACTGATTGACACCGATCTTTGGAGCAACTGAGAATGGTTGAGTGTTAACCGACTGACTGAAACTCACGAGTAACTCGAATCATTAGATGTTTGCTGAAAATAGTTGGTCACTCAACGTATTTTGACGAGAACAAACTGATTGACACTGATCTTTGGATGTCTCTTATACACATCTAGATGTGTATAAGAGACAGGTGTTAACCGACTGCCTGAAACTCACCAGTAACTCGAATCATTAGATGTTTGCTGAAAATAGTTGGTCACAGAATGTTGATCACTTGATTGTGAATTGAGAAAAACTGTCAATTTTTCGAGTAGTGTTTGACTAACCAGAATGTTGTTAAGAAAGGTTGGTGTTCTTTGTATTCACTTGAATCTGGCGTTGACCTTTTCCACCATCTCTAGAGATGAACCGATGTTGTGCAGTTTGTCGTTACTGTCATGAAACTGAAAAACGTATTCAATATATTTCCTTTCTCAAACTCTACTAATTGTTCATCCCCTCAAAATTTGCTTGTCGTTTTCCATGTTTCGAATTGCTTCTACCTCCCGAGTCCCAACCCTCATGTTTATTTTGGTTGATGATGCTTTTAACCACTAATATTTCAGCATCCTTCATATTTTCCCTTGTCCATTTCAAGATGATAACTTAAGAACTGAGAGGAAAGAGAGGGGATGACTGACAGTCTTGGCGAACTGCCTGCAACAGGAGGAGATAAGCAACTTGTGCCGCTCAAGTGTTGTATAGGGCTCAGTCAAGTTGGCTCCGGCCATGTTTTCTGTGCGGAAACACAGTGAAAACCGAAACAAGCCCATGTGCCACAACATAGCTAACTTGGTCAGGTTCGGTCATGCACCCATCTCGAGATTTTATACTTCATGGCGAGTGCAAAAGGCTAGCTGTCACTGATCACAAGTCTAGGAAGAACCATGTGCCCTCTCCCGCCAATAATGATAACCTTTTTGCCCCAACCAATGTTTTCAAAAACCAGTGCTTCTGAAAATCAATGTTTTCCCCAAGTGTCTTCCATCTATCCAGACTCTTCATGAGTCCTCCTTGAACAACTGAAAGGTGTCTCTACCCTACAACTCCGAGAAAATGTTAAGACTTATAATTAGATTTTTTAGGTACTCATATGATCGAGGGTATTGACAACCGATCCAGGTGTCTTCAGAGTGAGCCTCAATAGGTTGGTCCCAACCCAGGGGGGACCAGAAAATGAGTTTGTACAGACCGAATGATTCCATCTCAAGTTAAGCACTCACTACAGGCAAAGCGAGTGAGATTACCGAGGGTCACTGCATTCCACCCTTTTTCCACCCAATTCTTGACAGTTTGTCTTTTGTTAAGAATCAGATAAGATGACCAGGCGATAAAGCCTTCCACATAGGAGTACGAAATCACCAATCAGATAAGAAAGGATTAATTTCTCTCGCAGAACGAAGACACAACCGAGCGCAGCCTCAGTTCAAGTGTAACAAGAGAGGTTATCGTATAGAATCCTACGTAGAACACATCTAAACTAGAGCGACTATGTCTGGTCATGGAGCTAGGCAACGGCAGACATTCTGCGGTTAGCCTCAAAAGTCGTTCCTGAAAATGCTGACCTATTTGTCGAAAGTTAATTGCAACCCGGTTTTGGTGATCGATTGAGCCGCGCTCGCCCTGTATACTAAGTAAGCAGGGCTCACTATTGACTCGGAGCATGGTTCTTCTGTTGTTAGCTTGCCACCGATCTCAGCAATAAGTCACCATTAAGCGTTCTTGCTACATATCAGATATATCCTATATAAGATGCCTACAAGGCCCCGTTGGAAGCTCAAATGAATATTCCCCGTACTGACCTGCAGCTTAGTATGAAGGGATCTCAACGTAGCTCAAGAGTGGCCCTACAATCCATTTCGAGCCCATGGGATGTGTCTGCCATATCAACAGGTGTCCACAACCTATTCTCTGTTTAACAGGGCTAACTCGTTCTTTGGACAGCAACGCATTTTTGTCGTGCTAGTAAAGTTTCGGAGTGCGCTTGAATTGTCATCCTCGGTCAGCATTTATACGTTCGTAATTGGGTAATTTTCGCACCTATTTCATAACATAGAGGAAGTGAAGTTATTTTCGAGTTTTGCTTTGTTCGGTAACCAGTACAAAAAAGTCACATGTGCGGAAGTTGGCAGTCTGCTTTAGGAGAGTAGTCGTTCCATACTCACCTCTCTTCTCAATCAGGCTTTTCTAGATTAGTATTC